TACATCTCACCTGGGTAGACGATCAGGTGGGTTGTTAGCAACTGCACTCTCTAGAGAACTGTTCCCATTTTTATTTTCATAAATACTTCAAGGAGAATTTTTTTAAGTCTACTTAAATGTCTATGTGCGCACATATGCACAGATATATGATTTTACCTAAGAATAAACTAAATCAAGAAATCCAAACATCACACCTTGGATTCTAAGCCAAGAAAGTGGAATGCAACATTCTGAATTCCCAGAGGAAAGAGCTGCTGAAGCCACATGGAAAAGGTGATGCTGGGGGGAAAAAACCTCTTTATCGCCTGCCTTGCCTTGGCGGCAAAGGAAAGGAAGGGACGTGTGTTTGATAACATTTGCTCTTACAAAGCATCCTTCGCCCATGCAGCTTAAAGGGTTTTCACAAGCAAGCACAGAAAGCGAGCAGACTTATGCAGGCAGCCTTGCAGGTCTTGTTCATGGTACCAAGTACCATCTCTGACCCTGAACTCAACAGCCAAAATTGACTCGGGTGATGGTTATAATTATATGTGGCAGCTTAGCTAAACTATGGGGCCAGTCTGTTAGGCAACAGTAGTCTTGATGCCATTATAAAAGTATTTCCATGTGATCAGCCTTAAGTAAAACAGATCACATCATAATGTGGGTGGGCCTCATATAATCAGTTGAAAACCTTAAGCATAAAAGCTAAACTTTACAGAAAGAAGGATTTGGCCTCGGGCTGTATGTAACACAAACATCCTACTCAAGTTTCTAAACCTGTACGCCAATTTCTTAAAATAAGCATCTCTCTTTCATGTGTGTGTCTGTGTGTGGGGGTGGGGGGGTGGGTGTGTGCTCAACTACCGGCCAGAAGGTTGATGGTTGGAACCTATTCAGAGGTGTCTCGGATGAAAGGTCATGAGATCTACTTTCAAAAGGTCACAGCCCGGAAAATCCTATGGAGCACATTTCTACTTTGCACATATAGGATCACCAGGAGCCGAAATCAACTTATTGGAAACAAATGTTGTTGTTGTTGTTGTTGTTATGTGCCGTGAAGTCGTTTCCGACTCATAGCGACCCTGTACAGGGTTTCCAAGGCTGTAAATCTTTACGGGGGCAGAATGCCTCATCTTTCTCCCGTGGAACAGCTGGTAGTTTCGAACTGCTGACCTTAAGGTTCATAACCCAATTCGTAACCACTACGCTACCAGAGCTCCTTTGGAAATAGCAACATGTATTTATATCCATGTGGTTTTGTTTCTTTGAAGAATCCTGACTCATACAGCTATATATATTCTAGGGTCGACTGACTACTGTAACTTCTCCCAGTCTTTAAGACACAGATGCCTGCATCTCCTCAGGAGGGCTCCGTCTAGTGGTCATTAGCTCAGCACACTTGTCTTCAGCAGCAGGGAAATCAGGGAAGGTAGTGGTTGGCCATTTTCAAACAGCACTAATTGTTGTGGAGTTGTGGGTGGTGTTTTTTTGTTTTGTTTTAATATTAGCTCAAAATCGGCTTGCCTTCTATCTATTGGTTCAAGTCCAATCTCTGGAGAACCAGAATAGGTGCAGTGATCCTTCTACAAGACTGCTGCTCACTCTCAGCCCAGTTCTGATGCCAGGGTAACGTATTTATAGGTCCTTATATATAATCTGCCAAATTGTATCACTCTAAATCCCTTTGGGGTCCCCTCGGGTGCTGTTTCTCACGCCGTCACCTCTACCTCCCTGTGAAAGTACAACTGGGTTTTCAAAGTCTTAAACAGGTCAAAGTGCTACTTCCCCAAATCTCTATTTTAACGAGTTGTTGTTGTTGTTGTTGTGAAGTGCCGTTGAGTCGATTCTGACCCAGAGCGACCCTGTATAGGGTTTCCAAGGAGCAGCTGGTGAGCTTGAACCGCCAACTTTGCAGTTCAAACAGCTTTGCAGTCTGGCAAATTAACCCACAGCGCCACACCAGGACTCCATAATAATGAGAGAGATTAAAAAAGGGGGGGGAGGGGTGGAATCCTTGATATATTACGGAGTAAAGCCCATTCATTCTAAATAACATATGAAGAGGGGCAGCTTCAAAGAGCTCTGGTAGCACAGTGGTTACGAGTCAGGCCGCAAACCTCAAGGTCAGCTAGTTCAAAACTACCAGCGGTTCTGCAGGAGAAAGATGAGGCTTTCTGCTCCCATAAAGATTTATAGCCTTGGAAACTCTATACAGGGTCACTGTGAGTTGGAACAGACTCCACGGCACACCACCAGGAGGCAGCTTCAGACTGTGATCTCTGAAAAATTCTCTAGTTAGGGGTACTTCACATAGAATTACTTTAAGAATCATTTTCTTGTTTCCTTATAAAGCTTCTGCATTCTCATGCCTATGAGGAGAGAAACAACCAACTCTGGCAACAGTAAAAAGAGGAGAGACTATCACCTCCTCTGATGGAAACATTATGTCTCTAATGATATGGCCCCACATTCACTCTTAAGTCACATCTACTTCAATTTGAGGCCACAACACATTGGAACTCCTTATGAACAACCGGCAAATCAATCCCCTAAATCTTTTTCACAGCCACATCTCCCTGTCCTCTACTTAGGCTGTCAGCTGACCTTTGGTATAAAATATAACAAAATATTTGCCAATTCAACAATTTTTGCAAGCACAGTTTAGTTCTACTAAGTTCATCATGTTGTACGACCATGACCTCGATCCCTTTCCAAATCATCCCACCCCATCAGGAGACTCTCAGAGCACTTTTTAACTGAAAAGCATAAATGACTTAGCACTTCTGACTTTTTACCTTGCCACATTCCACCCTCATCTCAACTCTCCACATCTCTTAGAGCCAGCCTCCCCAGCACTCCAACACTGGGGAATTCCTTTGCCTTCCTTCTCACAATTTTCCCCAGGGTCCCAATCTGGAGTTGCAAAAGATGACTGACTGAAACATATTCCAGACACCGGTTCCCAGAGTTTCGTAAATCCTCCGGTTTGCTAGAGGAAGAAGGTGTAACTTGAAAATGAAGGCCCCTTTGCCATAGGAGTGGATGATGACCATGCATGATGGATGGCCTGCCAGGTGCCTCCGTTTTCACCGAGGGAAAAGGAGAACCAGAGCAGTGCCACTCAGGTCTCCGGGCGTTTCACACGTACTGTCTGCAGACGTGAGTCACGTTTCTGCTTTTCTCCAGCGATAAGGCAGGGTGTCAGCCGATAATGAGGTCTGACTTCTGAATAGCTCCATCAGTTCCTCTGGGAGGTGTGTGCAGCACTGTTAGTCAGGGGCTATGAGGTTGAACTTCCTGATTAGAGCTGTTATCTCTCAATGCTGGGCTGACTGAGCGCCCTGCCATTGCCACACAGGAAGCTTCTACACCTCCCGCCCTGTGTGTACACAGAGCGAAGCCCCCTTCACGTAGGTAAGCGGCAACTTCATAAAAGAAATTCTAAAAGATATTTGGGGACTCGCTTCCATTTCCTTTACATTTAAAAAACACATACGTTAGCTAAGACAACATTTAGACTTTCTTAGCTCCTAAAGGAGCTCTGGTAGCGTAGTGGTTACGAATCGGGCTGCTAACCCCAGGGTCAGCAGTTCGAAACTACCAGCCGTTCCATGGGAGAAAGATGACACTTTCTGCTCCGTAAAGATTTACAGCCTCGGAAATCCTGTACAGGGTCGCTATGAACCGGAACTGACTCCACGGCACATAACAACAACAACAACAAAGGCTGCGATTATAACCACTGTCATCAAGTCACCTCTGACTCACAGCGTCTGTAGGACAGGGAAGAACCGTTCCATAGGATTCCGAGACTATAAATCTTGACATCTTTCTCCCAAGGAATGACTAGTGGGGTTCAGCAAGCACTTTAACCACTGCGCCACCACACACATCAAATAATCCACGTTTGTCTTACTGACACAAGCTAAGGAGGACACTTCTTTGGAGCTGATTTGTATAAAGTAAGCTTCAGGATCTAAATGCCATATTTATATTTCGGTTACTGATTTTTGGGGCTTTTTTCGTTTTGTTTTTTTCCAGTTACAGGAAAAGTATCAAACAATGATACCAAACCCAAACCCAAACCAGCTGCCTTGGAGTTCATTCTGACTCATAGGAAGTCTCATAGGGAAAGAGCAAAGAGGCCCTCATAGGGTTTCCAAGGCTGTGGCAATCTGTGCAGGTGCAGTCCTGCTGTGGGACTCGCTTCCATTTCCTTTAGAATAAGCAATGGACCGCAAGGTCGGCAGTTTAAACCCACCAGGTGCTGCTCGGAAACCCTCTACAGGATCGCTGTGAGTCGGAACTGACTCGATGGCACCTAACAACAACAGTCTTTGAAGGAGCAAACAAAGTCTTTCTCCCACAGTGTGGGGCATTGGTTTCGAATCCCAGCCTTTCAGTTAGCCTCACAGGCCTCAGCTGCTGGACCACCAGGGCTCCTTCACAATCCCATACCATAATAAGCAACAAGTGTCCATTTCAATCATCACTGACTAAAATAAATTATAACTAGTCAATAAAATCGGAGTCGTGGTGCGGCGCTGTGGGCGAATGCGCCAGACTGCTAAGCTGTTTGAACTGCAAGGTCAGCGGTTCACGCTCACCAGCTGCTCCCAGGAAACCCCATACAGGGTCACTATGGGTTGGAACTGACTCGACGGCACTTAACAACAACAATATTCAATAAAAATAGTATCAATATTTAGGAAAGCCTTTGCAGTCAGGCATACCATAAACAGAGGAGCCCTGGTGGCACAGTGGCTAAGTGCTAAGCAGCTAACCCAAAGGTCTGCAGTTTGAACCCATGGGAGGAAAATGCAGCAGTCGGCTTCTGTAAAGAGGACAGCCTTGGAAACCCCATGGGGACTGTCACTCTGTCCTACAGGGTCACTCTGAGTCCAGTTTGGTTATGCCACGAGACTTTAATAAAACCAATGCAGACGTGTGAGCTCTTTCTAGACAGGAATTTAGCCTGAGGAACCGTTCCCTAGCGGCCTCACCAATGAAGCCCATACCTTTGAGGGTTACCCAGTACTGTCTCCACTTCCTCCGTGCCACCAGCTCGAGCTTCCTCTCCTTCTGCAGAGTGACAAGGGGTTTGAAGAAGAGCCACCCGGCTTTGCGGACCACACCCTGCTCCTTCTCAAACAGGAGATCGAGCTGCTCCAAGGAGCTGAGGGACTCGCTGCTGGACTCGGCCGTTTCTGTGGATGTCTCTAGGTTCTCCGTGCTGGTCCTGCTCATTTCCAGCTCTCGCATGAAGTTCTCATAAATGTTCTGCTGCAGGGGATCGCTGCCGATGGCGTTCGGGGGCTCGATCCTCTGAGGCAGGGTCTGCACCGAGCCCCCTGACCACAGTAAGGCTGACGTGAGAGAGGGGGTCTGTATGTCCACATTCAGTCCATCCGAGCGGCTGTCAAAGTACTCGCTGCCCTCCTTGGACCTGGGCTCCTGTGGTGAGAGGCACATGAACACAGATCAGAGACAAGACCCCAGGCCCAAAGCCCGCCTCCCACCCTGTCCTCAACACAGCAGAAGTGCAATGTTGCTCATGCCTAGTCATGCCGCTGCAAAGCAAGATTCTTCTAAACAAAACACACCTGACATCATGTGTCCAAACTAGAAAGAATTTTAGAAATCATTTTGTCCAACCCAACTTTTCCACGGGGATCAATTCTTAAAGAGGAAAAAAGAAAACAGCACTGAATGTCCCAGTACATGATGAACAGGTTTCAGAGAAGCTTCGTGACTAAGATGACCTGGAAGAAAAGCCAGGCAATAGACCGCTGAAAACTCAGCCAGTGAAAAGCCTACAGGTCTGCATCCAATCGAAGGAAGGCAGTATTTGGGTCCCTTGTGTGTGACGGGCCGACACAATGGTATCAACAAACACTACCCTAAGTTTTTGTTGTTGTTAAGTGCTGTTAAGTCAGTTCCAACTCATAGTGACCTTATGAAGGGTTTCCAAGGAGCAACTGGTAGGCTTGAACTACCAACCTTGTGGTTAGCAGTCTAGTGCTTATCCCGCAGCGCCATACCAGGACTCTTATGCTTAGCATTGAGAAATTTAGCCAGTGTGTTTTAAACAGACTGTTTTAAACTGGAGAAGAAATTAAGAAATTACAGGGTAGCCTCAAAGAAAATGAATACATCTCCCTATCAAAATAAGAAAGAGGAAAATCAGAAAGATTTAGTAAGCATTAAAGCAATAGCAATGAAGAAAATGAAAGAAAATCCCAAACCAAAATTAACTCAGCACAGAAAATTACATGGCACAAAGAACCCAGCAGTACAAAACAACACAGAGTGAAATAACAGCATGTCATTCCAACTTATCAATAAGTACAAGGAGCCCTGATAGCAGACTAGGTTATGAGTTGGGCTGCTAACTTCAAAGTCAGCAGTTCAAATCTACCAGCTGCTCCTCAAGAGAAAGATGAAGCTTTCTGCTCCCATAAAGATTTATAGCCCCAGAAACGCTATACAGGGTTACAATGAGTCGGAACAGACTCCAAGGGATACCATCACCATGAGGGAAAAATGTTTAGAATTACATTTCTTTGTAACTGTGAATTAATATCTCCTGAAGAAGAATCCATGTACTTGTAGTCTGTTTCCCTCCTGGATTATCTTACACCAAATTAGAAAAATCACCGGTTCCAGGAGATTAGGAGGAAAGCAGAGATTTGATTCTGTTATTCGGAAACCCCAAAGTTTCTTCCTCTTCCCCAAGTCAGTACAGCAAATGCAGGTTTCTAGCCAGCTGCCCAGGTCTAGACTCTAGCATCTGATTTTCGGGTAGAAACCATGCAACGAGGAGTCCCATCAATCAAGCTTTCTTGTTGTTAAGCGCTGTGGAGTCGGTTCCGACTCATAGCGATTCTGTGTAAGTTTCCCAAGGAGTGGCTGGTGTGTTTGAACCACTGACCCTGTGGTTAGCAGTCCAGTGCTTAGCCTATAGTGCCACACTGGTAACTGTAGCTTTGTTTCAAAATTCAGGTTCTTTAGCTGGTATGTGAAGTCCTTTCATCTAATCATATCCATTTCATTGAACATCTATTTCATTTCAAAGGAGCTCTGGTGATGCTGCCGGATAAGCATGGAACTGCTAACTGAAACCCACCAGCCACTCCATGGGGGGAAGATGAGGCTGTGTGCTCCCGTAAAGACTGACACCTCGGAAACCCCAGGTTGTTGTTGTCGTCAGGTGCCGCTGAGTCAGTGCTAAGTCACAGCGACCCTGTATAGGGTTTCCAAGAGCGGCGGGTGGATGTGCACCTTGTAGTTAGCAGTACAGTGCTTATCATACAGAGCTACACCAGGGCTCCCGGAAACCCTACACAGGGTCACTATGAATTTGCTTTTGTTTGTTTATATTTTAATTCCAGACACTGGAGATAACAAAGATAAAATACTTCCCTACACAAAGTCAGACAATGGCAACTTTAAATCAAATTATTTAAATTTTTTTTATGTTGCTGAGAACTACTGCCCACTTTTGGGAGCACGGTGGCTCCATGCGATAAGCACTGGACTTGGACTGCAAAATACAAGGACTATGGCGGTTCGAGCCTGCCAGCTGCTCCAAGGGAGAAAGAGGAGGCTTTCTGCCCCCACGAAGATTTTTAAAAGCTTACAAACTCTAGATAGGATCACTATGAGTCAGAACAGACTCGACGGCACTTAACAATAACAACAAACCCCCTTTCTGGGCAAAACACACTGAGCTGAGTTGAAAACATAAAGGGCTTCCCCTGGAGTCTACATTAGAAATCTAGTCATTCACTCAACTATAGTTTTCATGTGGGTCATGTGTTGATAAACAGCAGAAATGAAATCTATTCAGAAGTGATCTTAACTTGGCTCAAATTCACGAATATTCCACAGGCATAACTGAGATGAAGGTAATTCTGCTGAGAATGCTCAAAGACACTCAAAAGTGCTCCACCTCACAAGCCTACTCTACTGCCTTGTCCTTATTCATTAAAATAAACGTGAGAGGAAAACAGAGTCAGAGGCCACCAGTTCAGGGCCTTATTCTGAACATTCTACTGAATGAAGGGCTTTTGTGTTTGTGTGTTATTTTAGAATCATCATCCAGTGATCAAGTAGCAATTATTTGCTGTTTTCTGTAAGAAAACCATCAGGCAACTGAATGCTGCTTCCAAACCCCAGAGGCTATAAACTATAGAGACTTGGCACGCAATTACTAATGGAAATAATATTTCCCACTTGTGTTTTCACTACGTCCCCTAGTGATATTTATTTATACGCAGATGCTTATGCAAGAACTGAGCGAACAAGCCAGCTACGGTGACTCACTTAGATGGGACACTTTCAAAATAGCTTAAGAGGCTTTTTTTTTTTTTAATTGTCACTGTGTGGTTCTTCAAAAACGCCTAGGCGGTGAAGGCATACATCCCTCTTTGCTCCTACCCACATGATTTTTCAGCTATTACTCTGACTCTCTGACTCACAGCCCCAAACACTGGGATTGCCTCTGAAACTCGGCAACCGTTATAATGGGCTGTTTCCAGAGAAACCTACAGAGTCCCACACTCTGACCCAGAACCAGCCCCACTGTGTTCCTCATAAATGGGGATTTCAAGTTGGTGTGCTAACTTTTAAAGGTTCAACCTGAGCAAAGCAAGACTTTTCCTCCTCAACAAAGGGAAAAGGTTGCAGTTAGCATTTGGGATGGATCCTTACATGTAGGCTCTAATAAATCCCTCCAAGGAGCGCTGGTAGCGTAGTGGTTATTAGTCGGGCTGCTAATCTCATGATCAGCAGTTCAAAACTACCAGCTGTTCAGCGGGAGAAAGATAAGGCTTTCTGCTCCTGTAAAGATTTACAGCCTCAGAAACCCTGTACAGGGTCGCTATGAGTCAGAACCGATTCCACGGCACATAACCAACCAACCAATAAATTCCCACAGTTTCCTTACATATAAAGAATTCTAATAGCTAACGATTAATTTTCAGGCTAACAGGAAAGGTCCTTTTTAGAAAGTAAACTTCTCGTTACTAGTTCCCACGTCTCACAATGTAACGGCACAACACTAAGAGACCTCTTGTCTTTACGTACCAGGCTGTGTGTATTCCATCATCCCTAGTCAGATAACTGAGAGAAACAGCTAACAGAACTCAATGGCTGAAGGCAGGGAGCTACAGGAACACCCCAGCCCCTGTTCCCACTCTCCAGTGACAAACACCAAACTCTCGCCATCTCCCTTCACTACAGGTGAGACCTTCTGCGGCTGTATGGAAATCTTCAGCAGCAGTGTAGTCCTCACCAAGGGCAGTGTGGGCTTCAATTCATATGGGACAGAAATGCACGGTGACTGTGCTCTAAATCTGGTGGTGCTGTGGGTTAGGCATTGGATTACAAGATTGGTGGTTCAAAATCTCCTGGGAGAAAAATGAAGCTATCTGCTCCCATACGATTTACAGTCTTGGAAACATCTATATAGGATCTCTCTAGTCAGAACTGACTCAGTGGCAGTGGACTTGGTGGGGTGGGTGGTGTTCCAAATCAAGGATCCCTAGGGTGCAGTGGTTAAGCACTGAACTGCTAACCAAAAGGGTGCAAGTTCGAATCCCCAGTGTTCTGTGGGAGATAGACAGGGCTGTCTTTTCCATAAAGGTGTTAGCCTGGGAACCCCCCTGAGCCAGTTCTACACTGTACTCTAGGGTCATTAAGGGTCAGAATCAGGGCTCATAAATCTGCTCTGTGCTAAACTCTGGGGGAGCCATCAGTGCTGCTCACTGTGTTCCTGGTCCTCCTCCAGGCACATGGTAGGGGTCATCTGATCACCCCCATCCCTGAAAGGCAGGCATGGCCATGTGACTTGCTTTGGTCAGTACTGGTGAACACAAAAGACACGTGTCACTGACGAAGGGAAGCTTTAAAAGCTAACACATGATTGGGCTTTTCTGTCCGCCATAGTGGCTCCCAATGTTCCAGATGACAACCATTCCCTGAGCCTGGGGTCCCAGAGAGAGAACAAGCTAGAACCGCTGGCCAATGATGAAGAGGTGAAAAATACAGTCTGTGCGTCCCCACCTCAGAGATTTGAGGGCTTTTGGTCACCGTGGCACAGCCTAGGCAACCCTGATACAACTGAAAAATAAATCAGGAAGGAGCTAGACGGAACACATCTCATGCCAGCTGAAGTGAGTGCCGAGAGCTCGCCTGCAGCAAACGCACTCTCCTCTAAGACTCATTCTCTGTAATCTTTTTAAGTACAAACATCCTCTTTTTTTTTTTTTTTTTAAACAGAAGTCCTGCTGGCATAATGGAGTCCTGGGTATGGTGCAGTAGGATAAGCACTCAGTCACAAGGTTGGTATGAATTGCAAGGTCAGCAGAGTTCGAACTCACTAGCCACACCTTGGAAAGCCTATGGTTGTTGTTATGTGCCGTGGAGTCGGTTCCAACTCATAGTGACCCTCT